TGACGAGGCAACTTACCAATGCCGCCGCAGGGGGTACCTGGAAACCGATAGAGAATATAAGACCAGAGGGGGCAACAACGTAGGTATGGAGGGGTGGGTGGGCCAAATCGCCCAGATAAGGAGCCACTAATAAAAAAAAGAAAAATTCGAACCTTGCAAAAATTTCGAGAAAAAGAACAAAATCGCCCTGAAGTGCGAAATTATGAATGAGAAAAAAATTCCGAACCTTCAGATTGCAGATGAGTGTCCGATAAGAATTCCGAAAAAAAACTACAAACAAATATTCGGAATTACTCAGATGAGAGTACGCGCAGTTTGGAAAATGATAACTGTGAGAGCTATTCCCCATACCGTTTTTAGAAAAATGAATTTCGGAAAGAAAAAAATTCCGGATTTCCAAATAACGGGAAATTGCAAAAGGAAATCGAAATTTTCGAAAAAAAGATATGCCGGATTCCCAACAACGAAATTTCGAATTTTCAGCAGAAAAACAAAAACGAAAATTTCAGGTGTTGTGCTATTGCAATTTTCCACAACAGAAATAGCGGGAAAACAAAATCCAAGAAAAGAAAAAAAAATCCGATTTCCGAGAGTGAGGTCAAAATCGTGATTTTGGGGGCTAACTAGTGTGCTCTAATTAATCAATCAAGACTAATCAGCTACCTAGTCCCCGCACACGTGTCTAATCAGGTTGTCCTGATTCACATGTGGTGCTCCGATACCAACTGTTACATGCCCAGTTGGGCGATGTACATCATAAACCGAGGATCCGCAATGTGATAAAAAGGACTGAATGGAGAATGCAGTGCAAGTGAAATCTCAACAAGCAGTGTACATTCTGATACATACAAAAATGGTGCTTCATAGCGCAGGGGGAAGACTTAGATACAAGTCCTGACCTGACCGGGACTGACCTCTATCACGTAGTGCAAGACAGTGCAGCAGAATGCTAGAATACCAATGACTAGCCCAATCAATGTTGCAACGCAGACCAAACATGCATCATCCGAATCACAAGGTGTGTAAGGGACTTGGCGCTATACACAGGAAGAAGGTTCCAGGTCCAGATCATGCACAGACAAAGAGGAGGGGAACAAACGAAGAAGAAGGGGAGAGATGGAATGTCGTCAACACCAAGTCTTTGATGCAAGTCCCAAATAATCCCTCGTCAAAATGTCTGAAGCCCTAATGTCGAGTCTGGATCCAAATCACCAAGCTCTCTCTTCTCTCGTAGTCTGCTGATGCAGTGAAATCAGGTAGCGAGAGGGTGAGAGGGAGATGGTGGACTCAGAAGAGGAAGAACTCTCTCTCTCTCTCTCTCTCTCATGTGCCAGGTACTAACCTTTGAAGTTGGCGCTATGCTGCAGGTACCTCGAAGACGGAGCTGGAGCTATGGCGCTGCAGGTAAGTCTCCCCACCCAATCTCTCTCTCTCCCCAGTGCTAGCCTAGCTCCTACAAGCACCCAGCGCTGAAGACGACTGCTAACGCTACTAGCGCCCAGCTGCTAGCGCTATCACTACTCCTGCAGCGCTCCTCCAGAGTGCTGCTGCTGAATCCTGAAGACTACCTCCTGCCTCCTGAACTGCACGTGAAGTGTCTGGGAAGTACCTAGGAACTACCTGCCGGCCTGCAGGGCTGGCCAGTCCTGTATAGTGCTGTCCCGTCCAGGAGGCTGCTCTTGCCAATGCCGAAACGTGCCAGACTCTGGCGTTGAAGCTCAACCAGGGGTCGTCTTGAAAACAGGCCCAAAATGGCCTGTGCTAAAACCCTGGTTTGGTGCCTGAGTTTCAGGGCGGGTCGATCTGATGAGGGCCTGAAAATGGCCCTCAGTTTCAGGCTGAAAAGGCTCAGGGCCGAAAGGCCCTGATTTTAGGCTGAAACGACACAGGGCCTGTAGGCCCTTGTTTTCAGGCTTTTGGCCTGAAAACGTCACGGGCCTGAAATTGGCCCGTGCAGCCTGTTGCAGGCACAGCATGTAATACTCTCTCTCTCTCTCTCTCTCTCTCTCTCTCTCTCTCTCTCTCTTCAACGAGCTTTTGCTGCTTAAAATTTTATATTCTCAGAATGCACCAAGATTTTGCAAGGGAATGGCAAACCCAGCCCATCTGGCTAAATGGCACACACCTCCAGCTGCTATTATGAAACGGCTTTCACCTTTTAGCAGTAGCGGATGCAGTACCCAGGGTTCGATCCCTTGACCTCACCTTACCCATGTACAGTATCTGTGTAGACCCCGGGAATTGAACCTGTGACCTGTGTATTCGTAGGCAGTTGGTAGGCTTGTCGTGGGTCCATAGGCAGCAGGGGTTCGATCTGTAGGTCTATAGCGTAGGAGTCTTAGTGAGTTCCGGAAGCTTAGCTGTAGACCTTCTA